TTAATTTAATTTAATTTAGTCCATTTTCACTGCATTAAGTTTTGCAGTGGGGAAGGACTAGAAAGGAACATAGGAACCATTCGTGCTAGTCCACCCTCCCACCCATCCCACCCCAGGGGAGGACATCCATCACACAGTAATCTCGTGTGTGGGAAATTAACGTCTCCTACCCCAACCCTGCAGGAGACGGGACCTCCATTTATTCGTCCCTATCCGAGAAGACTAGAATATCTAACCATTTCTTGATGTTATAGAAAGGCAGCAAATTCTTCTCAATTATTTTAAGACCCTGAGTGTTGGTCCGGCCGGGACTCGAGCCTTCGACCTCCCGCACAACAGTCCAGCGCTCTATCCATTGAGCTAACCAGGAGGTATTGGAACGCCTGTAGGTGTTTCTATTTTGAATTTCCTAGGTTTTTAACCAAAGAAATGCTCACTTATCATAAGTCGAGGTGATAAATAGAAGGAGAACAAAAGCCCCTTCCTCTCAAACCCCAGGGCTCTAATACGCGCTAAGGGACTAAGGCAACTTCAAGGAGTGCTTTAGGTAAATTAGCCGCCAGTCATTTCTTGTGTGTTAATGAAAAATGTGCTCAATGTAACTTTTAAGTCTGACGGAACCTCTGGGCAATCAAAATCCTAATCTTTTATTGTGAATGTATTTGAATGTTCAGTTACCAGACAATCAGCTCAACTCATCAAATGGAAAAGACAAAAATTGTGATCTAATAGTAGATCACAACAAGAAAAATTAAAATTATCAACAAAAATAACTGTGAAAGTATTTAAAACTTTGCTTGGAAATCCCATTCTTAAACTCCTCTCCAAGCAAATAAATACAAGTTTTATTTGTACACTCTAGTTGGTTTTTGTTCAAAATTTTATTGTAACTTTGTTAATAAGCTTCATGTAGGGAATACAATTGATGGTATAATTTCCTATTCATTCCTTCATAATTAATTGTATCTCTAGCAAATTAGAGACTTGGACAGCAGTTTCATATAACTTGAACTGAATGGATTGATTGTTTCTCTTAAAGATGTGTCTTATTGTGCCCTTTCATTGCCCAGAGATAGCAACGAATACTTTACCATAATTAGCCATTATGTTGCAATCTTATTGGCCAATTTTCCATTGTCAGTAAGAGTACAAACCTACTAAACCACCGCTGATTTGTTAAATCCTTACACAAGCAATGTTACTACATAGGTGACGAGACAAACGAAAAAAATTTCAACTAAAGTGTTGAGAACATTTCACATTATTTACAATGTTTCAAACGTCAATTGTTCTCCTTCTCTTCCCCTCCCCCCTCCCCCCCCCTGGGTACACCTTTTGTGTTTATAAGGCATGCTTTAGTTGATTTCACAATATGAGCCAATCACATTAAAACTTTAAACTCAACATTGGAAATCTAGGTAAACACTTTCAAGTACTCTTATTTTTGTTTTGCTGGGTCAGTTTTAGTTTTTTGAGCTTTCTTTCATCTGGAATTTGTTAATTGCTTATTAGGAATTTAAGAAGTCTGAAAATCTCTACCTATGCCAAATGCTGTGGTTAATGTGAAAAGATCATTACATCTTCTATTACAGAGTTGGATGCTAGCCTCTCTTTTAAGAGAAAATATTTTTTATACACAGCTTATACCTTAACTTAAAATCAACCTCCTTTCTCCTTATAAGAAATGTATGATTCAAGGTAAAGAGAAATGTTCATGAGAATTTAGAGTGATGAAGGGCTAAAGAAACATTTGCAACCCTCTACAGTGGTCAATTGATATTATCAACTGAGTTGATAAAATCACCTTCTCTAACAAGAATTATCTTACGTATATGTGCGCGATCCTTCACAGTAAAGCACTATTTGAGCATTAGTGAAAATCAGACCTGAAAAAAATTTCAGGCCTGTACGGGATTCGAACCACTGACCTCTGCGATACTAGTGCAGCGCTCTACCAATTGAGCTAACAAGCCAACTGGGAGCAGGCCATCAAATTAATTCGATATAAACTCGTAGATGATAAATCAAACAACAACAAACATATGAAACATATGTAAGAACTGAAATGTATATGTGCACGATCCTTCGCAGTAAAGCACTATTTGAGCAATAGTGAAAATCAGACCTGAAAAAATTTCAGGCCTGTAGGGGATTCGAACCAGAATTATCTTATTATACCCTGCAATGATCCCACACTAAGTTATTTTTATTTAAAGATACCAGTACTAACCGCTTTCTCTCTCTCTCTCTCTCTTGAAGTTTTACTGTATAAGTAGCAGATGCTTCCTATGAAGCTAACAAACATATTCTGGTATTCCAGATCAGACAGCAGTGTATTTAAATATCTGCAAGCCACGTCTACCTTGTCAACCTTGTTCCTTCTCAGAGTCGTGTAATCCTAACATGAAATGGCAAGCAACACATGAAGTTTCCCCAACATGTGTGACCCGATCCTTGTAGCACAGCCACAAAAGCCTGAGTTTTACTTCGTTTTCCCTGTAACATGTTTCCGCAGGGAAGGTGGTTTATGCAAGAAAGGATTCCAGGTTCCTTGTATGGATGGATTCTCAGTATGCCAGTACTTTCGTATCTTCTCCACTGTCTCTCCTGATTCATTTCTAAGCCTCGTGACGAATTCTGTTATCTTTTCCGGAGTCATATTCTTCACTTCAACTTCTTTGCTATTGCCTCCAACTGAAGGGAAAAAGGAATTCATATCGTGAAAAAAAAAACCTGTATGCTTGCCATTTCAATTAGGTCCAGTGTAACATGCAATTTCAGCTAATTCGAAATTACTGCAATTGCCCTATTACTTCGCAATATGTACTCCACCCAATCACATTTATGGGCCTGAAAAAAATTGATGGAAATCGATGATCGGAAAATAGACCGAAGGCAATCGCCTATGACATCAACTGACGTCGGCCATTTGATGACCAAATTGGTCATCGATTACAACACAAAAGTAGTCGCGAAAATCATCGATTGACTATCGATTGGCGTTAGCTGCCCATTATCGCTACATATAACTTACTAAAGTGTCCAGTGATTGTCGGATGTTTCCCACTCCGCTCCATGACATAGATAGCAATTCCAGGATTGTCTTTTGCAAACTGCACGATGTTTTTATCAATGTACTCCCTGAAGAAAAGCACGTACCCAACAATTACCATCAAGAGCGCTTCTAAATCACGAAATGTTCGCTTCTTTCATTACCTTATTCCTCTACTGCTTCCACCCTGGTTACAGTAATTAAACGTGAGCCGTTGTAACGGCCGGACATATCGGCCGAACACTCGGTTCGCAATGTTAATCTGCGCCATCTTGAAATTTGTTCCTTTCGAGTGCATGTATGTCATGTAAGAACTAATGGGCAGTCACACTATAGGCGCCTTTTGTGCAACCGTTCTCAAGACTCATGGGCGTTGCGTGACATTTCAAAGAAGGCCTTCGAAGGAATCACTTTCGGATTGGCTTTGTTGTTGCTATACAGGTCTGAAAGCCATATTTTGAGATCTACATCTAAGGAATGACAGGGGAGTACAATCTGTTTAGTTTTCCTAGTATTCTTAGTGTTTGAGCTTCAAAACTATTCAATTTTTTATCTTCAATATAGACAGAGTAAATAAAATCAGCTTTACGGGCCACGTTTTCTACAAGAATTTTCAAGGAACAGGTTTCAGGTTCTAGCCGCCCCAGATACTCACAATGGAAGCACCAGGATAGACTGTCACTGGGAGAGGTCCCAAATTCTGATCTCCCTGTGTTTTCAATATTTATAGTCGAGCGTACCCTTCTGGGCCTAATAAGGGAGAACTTATGGGGATATTTATTATTGTGAGAAGAGGGTAAAAAATTGATTTTGCAACTAACTGACCATCTAAAAGAAGAAACAAAAAAGGGAAAAAATAACAAAACAAAAAAAAAAAGAAAATGACAGTGACAAAAAAAAAAAACTACCAAAAAAGAGTGAGAATGAGAGTTCTTGTGAGGTTTTGCTACATTTTATTAGAAGTTCTCTAAAGACTTTGGTTTTACAATAGATCGCGATGTTTCTGCGAGAAATATGATGGGTGCTGATTCACTAGAAAATCATTTTGTATTTGACCAGATTATGAAGTCCAAGGATGTGAGTGTTTTATCATGGTTGGGTTTTCAATGGAAAGGTCTTCTGGATTGAATGAACCATTATGGGCAGTCTGTAGATAACAGCTGTTTTCCCTAGGATCCAGTGGCATACTTTTGTTTTCCATTCTCACTGATAACACATATATGCTGTTAAAAAGAAAACTCACCATGTAATCTGATGTAACCTAAGAGTGTCTTACAAAAAAAAATGATGAATCTCAAAGAGAAGTTTGCAACTTACATTGAGATCCCTGAAATATTCATTGTAATCCTACAGGATAAATACAATGTTATTAGAGAGTGTTTCTAATTAAACAAAGGTGTGATAGGTGTGTAAGTATATGCTCATGTAGGTATTGTGAACAATCTAAGACTGAGAACTCAATCAATAGGTCAGGAATTATCATAAAAAATATATGGCATTGTAGAGAGTTCAATCTAGGGCAGTTTTGCCAATTGAGTAATGATATTTCCATAGGGTCGTAGTAGTAGCAAGTATGATAAATATTGTAAGAAATAGACAACTTTTTTGCGAGACATGTCTTGGCATGCTTATGCCATCTATAATCATTGAGTAACAGAACATGAGTAATTATATAACAGATAAGTAGATGAATAAAATATTTACAGTTTGACGTAATACAAAAGCAGGTACTAATTACAATGTGACACTGAACATCAAAGGTGTGAACTAAAACGCTAGAAAAGTGTTATAATGNCTTTCAGCACTCAAAGATAAAACTCATATCCCCGTGTGGCCATGTAATATCCTCTATATATAAAGTAAGAAATTAACAATTGATTCAATTGCCAGCAGGCATTTACTGATATTTGAAACATGCAGTAAGTAACGAGAGCATATTTAAAGTTGCAAAACAGCAGCGCCAGGCATTCATCACAATATGAAGCATGTACTAAGTTTGAAGAGCTTGCATAAGACGAAGAAGAGAAGCTCAAGGTGCACTAGAGATCCACCCTTACTTTTTTCAGGGTGCTCTCCAAATTTCCACAGTACTAATCATTTGTAAATGAACCTATAGCTGATATTAGACCAATATCAAAGAAAAACACTTTTAACACATGTTAAAATGGTGTACATTGGGAATTTAAAGAATTCTTCTGATATTGAATAGAATAGGTAAAAAAAATTTGCAGATTTCCTTTGTGCTTCCCATACATGATAAACTCTATTGCCTTTTGAAAATACAAAATATGAGAATATATACCAATAAAAAAAATACACTTTCATGTCTTGTGGGAATTACTTACATTCTGGACGATATCCATTACTCTTTGGTGTTCTCTTCACCAACAAACTAATGATTAAAAAATCAAGTGATAAAAACAAAAAATGACACAAAGATACCCTCAACACTTCTGCATCCTGCAGATCTTATTTAAAACATAATTAAAAATCACAACCCTTCAGTTTTACTGTGACAATAATTAGCACACTCTCATCGGCAAGTATATCATTCCATGAACTTTCACCTCTTAGATGACTAAACATTTGCCATCCTGATAATACAATAACCTGACACCTCCACTAAGGCACCCCTGACTCTCCTTCTTGCCTCTGCATCCTCTCCCCTCCCCTCCCCAAAAGGGAAAAAGTCAACTATTTTGGGTGAAGAAGTAGATTAATGTTATACCTTGCCACTTTGACAGATGCTGGTTCGAACTTCTGAAGAGTAGTAAGTAGTTTCTGCATAGTTGCACCTGTATCTATGATATCCTGTAAAAATATTTGAAAGAAAGTGATTTCTTTGTCATGTGATTGTGACAAGATGGAAAAAACATTGTTTGTAGGTACTTACAAGTTGCCTACAAATGTTATGGTCAAGATCTCTTTTAGTAATACTTATCTACCTGGGGCAAAAACTGGCAAGTGGCAATGGGATGAAGAGTTGAAGAGTAACAAGGTACATAATTATTCTACTCTTGTAATGAATGTAGTTCATTTTAAACTCATTCTTAACATAATGCACAACAAGAGGTAACCTCTGACTGGATTAGTAAGTCACTCTATGAAGTAAACATGAAAAAGTTCGTGTTCTTGATAGAAAAGTCACTTTAAATCATTTTCTGCTGTAAACCTACCTCAACAACTAGAACATGCTGGAAGGAAAGAATATAAAATTATCAGTGCTAATCCTCACAAGAAATTGGATAATTTAAGTATCAGTCGTCACACTTCATATGACTAAAATATTACTTAACACAGGTAGATTAACTAAGCATACATTCTTGTACATTAAAAACTATATATCAAGTAAAACTTGGTTTCAATGACTCAACAAATTACTGGGCAGCAGCAACAGCAGTAGCAATTCACAACACCATGAGCTCAAGGAGTTTACCTTTCCCTTCAATGCAGACAAATCATCACTTCCTATGACTTTAACCTCCCCTGAGGAATGGTCATCCTATACAAACATTGAATCTGATCATGCATGTGCTAAAAATTAACGTCAAAGTTTCATCAGGATTTCCTGACAGTTTTCTGATGTTGATTTACACTACAAAAAGATGGCAAACCCAGTAGTAGATGTACATTAGCTTTCCTCAAAACACAATACCTCTCTGGTCATGCTTGGATGCAAGCCTTTGCATGAAGAGTCTCTCCCCCCCCCCCTATTTAAAAAACAAACATATTGGTAACAAAAATTTTTTTTACTGAGTTCCTACTACAGCATGCAACTACCTTTTACACCCAACTACCGTGTACCTCCTTATAATTAGAGAGATCAGATTTACAGAGAAAAAAGACAAGTAAAACAATTTCACCAAGACAGTTACAGGATGCAGAACCTCGTAAGAGCTTTCACACTGATTCTCTGTTTTCTGTTTTACAGTTTTTCACAACATAACTGTTTTCAAAGTGCCCTTTATATTTCAATATAAACTCTGCTGTCTCACTGGAAGACACTGGGTAAAGAAAGAATTCTTGAGTCCATTTATTTCTTGCTATGCAATAGTGAAGTTATATAGCATCGAACGGGGAAATTCAAATCATGGTCCTTCCATTAGCAATTTAAACTATGCATGACTCTAGCTGCTTTTAATTAAACTTATCATAGCATTTTGGCCAATTACCTCATAGCTTTTTAATCGGATGAAGTCAACTGACATCTGGATTGATCGATCTGTTTATAATGACGCAAAAAAAATAAGCTATCATTAAAAAACTTTGTATAAAATAGTTGCTGACAACATTTTGATTGACCTTAAACTTACCCATATTAGCATTTATGGTCCTGATACAATTCATAAGATCACCAAAAAACTGATATCCTCCTTTCAGAACACACAATCCTATGAGAGGACCTTTGTCAACATCACGGCAGATATTTCTGGCCAATCTTTCAATTCTAATAGTTGATTAAAAACGCAACATAATTAGAGCTGCAATCTCATTGTAAAATAAAAATATTATTTTGTACCTTTTCAAAATCAAATGATCATGTAGTTATTTTATCGAGGGAAAGTGACTTGTTTGGTACATAAAGACCCAATTATTTTTAACATTGATTAACAGCATACAAAAGTTTTCATTAAAACTACTTGTTAAGGATACTGTAATTCTAGTAATTTTTACAACCAAAGTAATTATGTTCAGTTTTAGAAAAAGGGCATGTCATGGCCTGCAATATGAACACTGTTTAAAGTTAATTCATTCTTACCAAAAACGTTTCTTGCATGGCCACGTATTTCCCTTTTATGTGATGGTAAGTTTTTTCCATGCTATCTAAGTTTCCGAAATTAGCCCTTACTGACTGTTAAAGGTCCACACTGTAAGTTACAGCTACCAAGTTTTTTTGCATTTGGATATGTGGCCCAAGCTTAAAGGGGACTGCCAAAAAGTCTGAGCAAAAATAAAATTGTTTAACTTGCAGTACAGACTAAAAAAAACAAGTGAATAAAGGCTGATCTTTCAAACCGGCAGTCTAAATCCCACAGGGATCAATGAACACTTTTAATTCCACTAATTTATTCGTGTTTTTCTCGTTGCCATGATCCCACCAATAATGTAGCTCCATTTTCTGCCTTTAAAGGCACACACAACCCACAATTCCTCTAATCACTCCGACGAAGGGCTAACGCTCGAAACGTCAGCTTTTGTAATCATTACGGTGGCCAATTTACCATTTCAACTTTGTTGATATATCCAAATTATTTCGTTACTCCTACCGACGCAGCCCCAAACAGTTTCTTTCGAAACTATCAGCCTTTATTCATTATTGTTTTTTATCATTCGTATACTGACTAGATATTTTATGATACACAGGGTAATGATCCTAAATCAGAGGACATCCAAAAGTTTTATGAGGACAAACGTATCCCTCTTGTTGGTCAAATGACGTCGTATGATCAGCAGAAGAAGTACACAAAGCGTCCTCTCTGTGTTGTCTATTATGATGTGGATTTCGGCTTTGAACAACGTAAAGGTTAGTATTTTGGTTTGTATGCACACAGTGCGGACGCACTCGGGTTAAGAGGGGTTCCAAGGGCTTCTCAACATTGCTTTTGTTACTGGTGTGGTAATAAGTACAATGTAGAATGTTTTGAAGAAAAAAGAAGGAAACGGCAACAGAGCTACCAAATGTATCTGGCAACTCGAAGTTCATCCTCTTGCAGTTCTGCCTCCATTTTCTTGGCTCTGCCTCTCAACGCTTTAAAGCGCACATGAAATTGCCTGCTAGACAGTCAGCGTTATTTCCTCTTTGCAGTGGTCAACTAAAAGAAGGGGATAGCTTATCGTAGAAGCTGGTAAACTTGTAAACTAACCTCATGGCTCGGTTGATGCACTCACTGGCCGTTACATGTAGTACTAAGTTGGGTCTCCATGTCTTATTAAGGAACATCAGTTTTGAGCTAAGGGGTCCAGGATTCCCATGTAAGGAAAATTTGTAAATTCTCGAACAAAATTTTGAACAGTTCAGTTCCGGGGTCAGAACTCTTGCCTTTATATATATCGCAGATGAACTTTTGGTAAAAAGCGCTATTAAACCATAGTCCTTCATATTGAAAACGCAGCATCACTTCTCTAACTTGTAGTACTTAGTAGTTATAACACAGCGAATTTTTATTTTGATTAGAACTGACATTAAGCTTCTTCTCCAGCGACACAGTTTTGGCGTCAAAAGGTTCTAGAAGTGGCGAATGATCACCGCGATATCACATTTGCTATTGCTAGCGAAAGTGACTTTGAAAATGAGCTGAAAGAGTTTGGTCTGGATGACTCTGGAGAAGAGATAAATGTCGGCTGCTTTGACGACAAGAACAGAAAATACAGAATGGAGCCGGATGACGAATTCGATGAAGACAGTCTACGTGAATTTGTAGAAAACTTCAAGAACGGTAATATTCTGTGATGCGTGAGATACCGATACTCGTTCAGTAAAACCGGGGTTGTCGCTAAGCGCCGGCTGCCGACTAAATTTGTCTGATGAAAAAGCAGCGATCGGCGGCTGGATTTTGGGCCGGCAATCGCTTGGTAAAGTACAATGGCCATTTCTGAGGTTACACTCTTACAATCGTTCGCCACCTTTGAGCCACCTTACTTGAAATTTCAGCCGAAAGCGTAATTTCTTAGCTACAACCCTGAAAACACTCGACAGCCGAAGGGTTAGAATAATGTGGGTGGGTCTTGAGCACTACGCGATGGAGTATAGTAGCCTTCTGGCTGACAAGGAAGTGCTTCTTTTTTAGGTTTTGGATATTGTGCGACTTATTCTTTGAGAATCTTACGGTGGTAAGACTACTGAATATTCCCTCGTAGGGAACCTCGACAACGTGCAGAATTTAGCTTTCTCTTTGTATGCCTTACTTTGTGAACTGAATTTTAAAGGAAATTGTCAAAATGTCATGGAGGCAGTTTGCGTTTGACAAGCATGTTTTCTAGGTATAGTGCGTTTGGCAGCTATCTTGGTTTCTTCGGCTCATTATGCTGCATAAAACAGGAAATGCTTTGGTAGTTCAAGTCGCAATTAAGTTTTCCATAGAAATTTCCCTGATAGTTTTTTTTTTTTTTTTCGTTATAGGCAACATCGAAGCCATTGTGAAATCACAACCTGCACCAAAGAAGAACACTGGCCCTGTGACAGTCGTAGTAGGCAATACATTTGAAGAAATCGTCATGGATCCTAAAAAAGATGTTCTTATCGAGCTGTATGCTCCCTGGTGCGGCCACTGCAAGGCTCTTGAGCCCGTCTACAAGAAATTAGGAAAACATTTTAAAGATCAACCCAACATAGTTATCGCTAAAATGGATGCAACCGCCAACGACGTACCTCCAGAATACGCTGCCGAAGGCTTCCCGACCATCTACTTTGCACCAGCTAACAACAAGCGTAACCCTATCAAATACGACGATGGCGAGCGAGAACTTAAAGACCTAGTGAAATTTATAGAAGAGAAGGCTACGGTCTCTCTGACAAAGGCGAAGGAGGAGCTTTAAACTCTAGGTAAAAAACTCATGTAGACTGTGGCTCTATTTCATATCGCGAAATAGACGCATCCAAAGTATTTGTGAAAGTCTGCGTTTTCGCGGACACGGAAAAGAGAAAGTAGAAAATGATATTTTAATGGCGTTTTCCGGCTATTTTTGCATAGGGCGTACCCAATTCCACACATCAGAAATTCATTTTAACTGGAAAATAAACTTAGTGGATTTTATGTGTTATATTTTATTTTGAGGAACTCAGCGGAATGAGTGGCAAAGAAAGAATTCCTCCTTACAATATCAAGCAGACAAGTGATGAGAATAAAGGGGATTATTAGTTAATCCAATATCAGTCTTTATTTATCCTTTGGAGGCCGGAGGAATTTTTCTTTTTATTTTTTTATTTGTGAGGAGGGGGTGGCGGGTGCAGGGATCAACAAATTTGATCGTGTTTAAAGCTGACCATCAATTGTCTGTATTGGTTTGGTTAAGAATTTTTTTTGACCTGTTTAGTAAGCTGAGTAGGGGCTAAAATCCTTGAATCCCGGTGATAAGGCGATGACTGTCCCTTAGGCAAGGAAGGAAATGAAAGGGGAAATTTGAAAAGTGGAGCTTGCATTTAAATTGTTTTCGTGACAGAATGGCTCATGGCCTGCGGCTGTTTGGCAGCGACTAATGCATTTTGACAGCTTCAAGCGTTTGAAAATACACAACCAGTTCGATTCCGTTTTAAACACCAACAACTGTTTTATTGGTTTGGCTATGAAGGTTGTCGTACCTTTTGCTTGCAGTACCTCTCACCGACAAAGTACCAAAGTTTACTTCGAAACTTCGAACTTACACCCTATATTTGAATATGTCTCCATACGTGCGTACGGTAATTTAATCTTTTCGGGAGCAATTTGATTGTTAATATATCTAATATGTGACAATTTTTACTGTCAGACGCAATTTTTTATTGCATTTACACAAGCCACATTGTTTTTGCCGCAAAACAACTTAATTCAAGCCATTCGTTGTTAAATTCGCTAAAGCTCTTCTTAGGGGCTGACCATTTAACTTTTGAGGGGGGGGGGTGGGGGATTTTGAAAAAAAATTTCCTGCAAGCGCCTGTTGGAAGAAAGAAAGTGCATGCAGCCCAAATGTAGCAGAAAAAATGTACCAAAAAATCGGAAAAAAATATCCTGCACAGCAGATTGCTAGAAAAAAGATCTCTTCATGACCAGAAATCATCCAACCCCCGCCCTCAAAAGTTAAATGGTCGGCCCCTAATTAGGATAAAAGGATTTCAAATTTCCAACGTGACCCAATCAGTTTCACCTGCTCCAAGGGTGGTAAAAGCAAACTGCCAATCAGCTATTTTATTGGCCCGGACGACTGAGTGAATCAGAGACCAATCTTTGACTTTAGAACTTGATATGTTTTGCATATATCAATCACATTGAAAGACCAGAGCTGATCGGTTTTTGCATATCCAGAATCAAGTGCGTGCAAGATTCGAACGCGTAACTAGCAGTCTCCAAAACATCTTGGCTGAATCGTTTCAATTTCCCGCTTTAAAAATTCTTGAAGCAAATGGCCTCCTGGAGGATCGAACGCTCAAGCGATGCCAGGGTAAATTAATCGAAAAATTTTAATTTTTTCATAGCTTCTCTCATGATTTTGACTTTCTTTTGTGCTAAAACCGCCATATCTCTGAAACTGTATTATGCAGCTTTATCATTCTCGCAACCAAGAAGGAAAATTAACGGCTATCAGCGGCGCGCGCGAATTTTACCTTATTTTGACGCAATACTTCCAAGAAAATATAATTTTTCATGAATAGAATATTTAAAACCTGTTTTTATTTGCTTACGTGAAAGGCTGCTTCATTTTTTATTCCTTTGAACGGGTTTTCTACTTTTGTTCAGACAGCTGCAAAATCAAAATGCAAATGTATAATTGAAAACAAAATTCTTATTTCGAATTGAATACTCTTGAAGCGAAAGATTGCTCAAAATTCGGTATTAACATAAACAGTTCTAACACGGAATGGAAGCAATGCAAACATTTTGAACAACTGAACAGTCTTTTTCCTGCAAGGAAACTTCCCCCTGGAGTATGTTTTTGCGCAGTCGACTATAACTCCACCCGCGCCTATTGTGAGGCAATGGCTAGACATCGGATCTGTGTTTTTAATTTTATCATTTTTTATTTTTTTATTCTAAGAATTAATTGCTATGGTTTATTATTCTTACATAGCTTTTTAGTTTTTATCCCGAAGAGCTCTGGATAACAACCTCTTATCACTAGCCCTTAATTGTACAAACATATGACGGCATATTACTGTATGTTGTACATGTTGATTATACAATAAGCTCGCCGTCAGATTCTGGGCATAAATTATAATTTCTCTGTGCCAGACATGCCCAAGACCCGCGTCTTCTCCGTCTGTTAGAATCGAGGAATCTGGGAAGGAATTGACCAGATTGCCCGCGCGCGCGTTCCACTTAGAGACCCCTGAGTGATTACAAACCGTGACGATGCATAAAAGGGGAATGGGGCGTGGAACGGCCGGGAGCTGGGGCGGGTGCAGGGACGAGAACAGGGTAAGGCAAAGCGGGAGATACCTGTACTGTTTCTGAATACCGAGGAATTATTTACTTCGCGCCATCCCTAACATCCATTCATTTCGCTGATTCGTGACTGAAAAAAATAAGCGTCTTGTCGAAATAAAATGATAATGATGATTGTAACAATAAATTTGACGGCACAAGAGAAATGATGATAATAATAATAATACTACTAATAATAATAATGATAAAAATGATAATAATGATGAAAATGATAATGGTCAGGATAGTGCGAATGAAGTCATCACTTTTATTATTATTATTATTATTATTAATCAGCATAAACGACAGTCCCCTTTACCAATTATCTATTGCTGGTCTCTTACCTGTCATGAATTAATCCTTTTGGTATCAAAATAGATTCTACATCATTCTCATAGTGTTTTGGTAAACAAAACATATCCAGGGAATAACCTTCATAGTTGTCAGGAATCTGTAAAAATAAGTGCAGGTCTGTCACTTTTTAAGCCAGACTGAGTGTCACCCTCATTCTAAATTAATGCCAAACACTTCTCCAGTTCACAAATTCAATTTTAAGTACTTTGTCTATGAGTTTAGCACACAAAGAATGTTTTTAATTTGTGGGTAGAAGTCCGAGTATTTCTGGCATACTGCTGGAAACACATTTATTGGATTGCTCACAGTTTACTAAATTTCCTTCCCTAAACAGAAGGCAGTAAAGTCAAATAAATCCTGTAGGAAAATTCATTACTTGAGCTTGAAGAGAGAATTCAGCATTAAATTGCACATGAAAACCAATATTAATATCGCATGAATCCCGAAGCGAAGAGTGCAATATCAGTTTTCAAGTGTAATGTATAATGGTAATTGAACTGAGTGGAGTGCAATTTGGGCTGAAATCATACACGTGATTTCAAAATCGAGCGAGTACACAGCACAAGTTCGATTTGAAAACACAAGTATGATTTCAGACCAAAATTGCACAACACGAGGTTCAATTACCACTTTATTACATCCATTTTCAAATCGCCCAAATACAGGACTTGGTAAATTCAAATATTTTACTGATGCAGTACTGAGCCGGTTTTTAAATAAAAGTGGAACTGGAAATGCTTTTACATCTTATTTTGTATGTAAAACAGAAAGACTTGACATCATGTGTCAAAACTCCCTCAAGCGTAAAATGATGCGATTTAGAGCAAAAAATGGTGCGATTCGTGAATAAATTGCACCAATTAGAGCCAATCAGATTACAGGGACTGCCAGTGATTTCAAAATGGATGTAATAAAACGTTGAATTCACAAGTCAAGTAATGAACTTTCCTTGAATATTGCATAATTGAATAAGAGTGAGAAAAAAAGAACAGCACCACTTAATATACTTGTTATGTATACCTAGATGCAAAATGATATCACTTAGCCTCATTTTCAACTTGCAATTCCACACTATTTAATGCCTTGCTTCATTAACCAATCAGAATGTGAGATTTTATTCAGTGATGTGATTCTACAATAAAGTTCACGGTCTGAAAACTCGTCAGGTTTCCACTAGGCTCATCCATTCTTTACTTATTTAGTTGTAATTATTCATCGATTTCTTCAGCCCTCCTTTTTTGCATATTATTGCAGAATTAATGAACATAGTTGACTGTGATCTGCTCAGAAATCAGCATAAATGTAAGCAAGAACTTTCAGTTCACATGTTTGACAGGAGCTTCCTCGAGGAAGAAAACTGAATGAAATCTTGAATCCGTGAAGGCAATCTCTAAAACAAGGAATGGGGAATGAGGGAATGAGGGAATGAGGAATGGGGAATGGGGAATGGGAAATCTTTAAAATGGGGAGTCTTTAAAAGCGGGAATCTTTAGTTTTAAGCAGGAATCTTTAAGATGGCTAATATTTAAAGCAGGAATCTTTAAAAGTGGGAATCTTGAAAACGGGAATCTTGAAAACGGGGAATCTTTAAAAGTGGGAATCTTTAAAATGAGGAATCTTTAAAACGGGAATCTTTAAAAGCGGGAATCTTTAAAACAGGGAATCTTTAAAAGCGGGAATCGATACAAGCAGGAATCTTATATATGAGGAATCTTTAAACGCGAGAATTTTTAAAATGAGGAATCTTTAGATGCATGAAATGAAATCAGCCAAATGAATGTGTGGTCTGTGGAAAAGCTGATTGTTTTTTCAATTTCAAGCAAGTGAACCCATCAAAATTCATGACTGTTGACACAAGTAAAACTATGCTCTAATGGAAGGGCACTCAGCACATGTTTTCAACATGACCAAATTACTTAAGTAATTCTAGCATCAGAACCTTTATTTTGATCAACAAGTTTCGTAATCTAATAACAAAGCGTAGTGAACGGCTCAATTTTTCAGTGTTTGTTAAAGCGTAAAATATTCAACTTTGTCTAGACAAACTGTTGTGCTTCTTCATTTACAGTCAGGGGAAATCCGTAATGTCAAGCACCGACTTTAATTTGAATGCGTGAGAAGGTAATACAAATGACACTGAACAGAATCTCACAGAAAATAAATCTCGATTTAAGGTAGAATGTACATGCAGAAACATAAACACCGTAATGTGACGGTGTGTACACAAACTGGCACGTTTCATGCTTGAACAAATATATAGAAAGCTGAATACTGTAAACAAGAATACTCCTCATAGCACGCTTCAAATTTCGAAACTTTATACTCATCTACGTCTCCAAAAAGCTTTTAAAACATTTCTTAGCTGCTTTATTGTCTGACATGAAATGTTCACCATAACAGGACAGCGACTTTTACTTCAGTTGGACGATCAATAAGCAAAATATTTTCTATAAACATTCTAGTTCTTTGTTGAAAAATTGCCAGCAAGTGTGTTAAAAGTTCAGGCTGCCGCTGGCAGCCAGCTGTTATTTGAACCCTGAGGATAATACTGAAAATCGATGTCGATAAGAGTATTCAATCATTATTGCTTATAGGGCTGATGGCTGACTTACCATTCAGGCTAATAAAAATAAAGTTACAATCAAGTGCCACTTGATATTCGTTTTGAAAGACTCCCGCTTTTAAAGATTCCTTGTTTTAAAGATTCCTGCTTTTAAAGATTCCCTGTTTTAAAGATTCCCGATTTTAAAGATTCCCCATTTTAAAGATTCCCGCATTTAAAGATTCCCCATTTTAAAGATTCCTGCTTTTAAAGATTCCCGCCATTAAAGATTCCCCATTATAGAGGTTCCCGCTTTTAAAGATTCCCGCTCTAAAGATTCCTCGTTTTAAAGATTCCCGCTTTTAAAGATTCCTCATTTTAAAGATTCCTCATTTTAAAGATTCCCTCATTTTAAAGATTCCCCCATTTTAAAGATTCCCCATTCTAAAAATTACCACTTTTAAAGATTCCCCCATTTTGAGGGCAGTTAAACTAGTGCTCCCGCAGTCCCGCGCTCCCGATGTCAAAGATGATTAAAAGAGAGGTTAGTTTTAAACTAGTGCTCCCGCAGTCCCACGCTACCGATGTCAAAGATTGGACAGTTTAACTAGTGCTCTCGCAAACCCGCACTTCCGATGTTGGTTCGATCTTAGAACGAACATTATAAATTTGAATTTGTCAACTCACTCGCCAATGAAGTCGAAGAAGTCGCCGTGATATCCAGTTTATATTACGCTTGAAGAACGAGGAATTAAGATATGACTTTAATTGCAATTTGAATTTCGGTTTACTGAAGAACGAAGAATGTATATTTGAATGTGTGGGTTTTGTTTAATTTGGCGACTTCGGGACTGCGAGAGCAGCTATTTAAAGCAGCATATTAAGTGGCCAGGTATTCTGAAGTTTTGCCCAAAGCAGAAAATTTGCCTATATTTAAAAAAAAATACGCATTTGTGACCGAACACGATGTTAATGAGCTACGGAGCAATGTGCTGGAGGACAGCCAGCCGTCCAATTGGTTAGTAAATCACGATTCCTATTCTCTGAATACTTCATAAGCCTCTGGAGCATGTAAAGGCTGAATAAATGGTTTATTTCACCACCTACCTTGATGCAATCTTCTGCAGCCATTCCGATTGAACGAGGGCATGTAAGAACACGCATTGGCTTGGCAACCACCCGGAAAGCTTTGTTTGTTTAATACAAAACATCTTCACATGAATTTGACTTGTTAAAAAACAGAATCAGATATTTTGGTTGCAAAATGCAGTTTCAAGTAAATCGAAAAAGCTGCCATCGAAATGGAAAGTTACAACGAGAAGTCTTTTGTCAATTAACTTTGCTAGTCTAATCTTCGTTACTAGTGTTGCGTGACACGTACTTGATGTAGCGATCTGCACCGAAGCTATCGTTGAAACTGCGAACAATGTCCAATAACGATGAATGATTTCAAATGACAGTAGCACTAAATCCGTAGAGAGTTAGTCACCTTTGTATACTGTTTCATTGAGTGTTTCAATTTTTTTGGGTTAATTTTTGCGTGAAAGTTTTTCCATCTCTTGCAGCTTACAAAGATTGATCCATTTGTGCATTTCTTTTGTTTGACCGCTGTGTTCAATGAGGCTATTTGGAAAAAGTTAACTAAGTTAATGATCGTGCTCCATCGCCCACATACCCACCTCAAAAAGAACGAATAATTGCACGTTTTCAGAAATCGATCGCGTGCCTCGCTTGGGGACGATGTATCTGAGGTGTACCTGATTTCAACGTGTGTGGACAACTTCTCTCCAACATAGCAAACAAAGCAACGGAGAATGAAACATAACACAATATGGTCAATATGGAAAGAGGAAGCTGTTATTTTTAAGATTTTATTGTATTAGTTTTAGAGCCGATCAATTTGCCATGAAAAGGGACTACCTCAGATTGGCGGGTAAACTGAATTATCCCGGGAAGACGCGTTGCGCGATGCCATTGGTCAGAAGCCCTCCAACCTGTCCATCTGCTATTGGCTATTTGAAGCCTTTGAGAAAACTGGGAATCTCCACAACACTCACAACACGACAATTTTCTCGTAGGTCATCCGTCGACGCGATGAAGGTTTGGAAATTCTTCCTCGGTTTAGTCCTCTTAATCACTTTTTCTGTAAGCTTCACACTTGCTGAAGAGAATGAAAAGGATGGCGAAGCAGCAGCAGAGGCTGTGGAAATAACAGAGGGCGCGGAATCCACGGAAGAAGGCGACGAAACAGAGGCAAATTCTGAAGGAGGCAGCGACGAAGAAGTGAAAGAAGAGGACGATGTTTTGGTTCTTACCACCAAAACATTCGACTCTGTGGTCAAGAAAAATGATATCATACTTGTGGAGTTTTATGCACCATGGTTTGTTGAATTAATATTGATACTGTGTGAATTGATTTGTTTGTCGTTGTTCATTTTTATAGTTCGTCAATCTTGAAGTACTAAATGCTTGATTCAAACAGAAGTTTTGTTTCTTTACTCTCTTCCTTTCAGATACCTTTTTATAAAAGCATTTATCATGAGAACTACAAATACCACAATGAAACTTTTTAGTACTTATCGAGCGTATAATAATCGCGTTAAATTACTTCAAGCATGAACATGTGAATGCGATCATTCTCTTTTGTATATAGTTAGTCATAATAAATTTCATCGTCAACTGCCTCTATGCTGTAATTTACTGCACAGGCCATCTTTTGGAAGAATATTTTGGGATTTTAATCGACTTGGTTCACTAGTGAAATAGAATTATCCAGATAATTGTCGAATTGTTCTTAATATTCATGATAGTGGTAGGGTGCGTTGAATTTAAAAATATCAAGCCCTGTAAAGTTAAAAAAAAAAATAGATTGCTAAGCCAGAATAACCTTGAAATTATTTAAGTCAAATGGTCAATTACTATTTCATCACTGGCAGACTGAAATTTCCCCTTGAAAACCCATAGGAAGTAATGAGATGTAATTAAAAAGTGAAACAAAGATTATCAGGGAAAGAGGGTTCATGATAAGTCAGCCGTTATCCAATTAATTCAACAAATCAGCCTTTTGAAATGTTCTCCATGTTCGGGAGACTAAGTGTAATTTTCTGAAGGCAGGTTTGCTTCCTTATGCCATGAGTTCCTGGTGAATTTTTTTTTCTGATTTCCTCTGTCCTTTCTCAAAGGTGTGGCCACTGCAAGTCTTTGGCACCAGAATATGCGAAAGCTGCAAAGAGGATGAAGGAGGCTGATCCTCCTGTACCATTTGCAAAAGTGGATGCAACTGTAGAAACAGAGCTGGGCTCAAAGTATGATGTTAGTGGCTACCCAACATTAAAAATCTTCCGCAAGGGAGAGGCACATGATTATGAGGGTCCTCGAGATGAAGAAGGTACCATTAAGTAGTTTTTCTTCCATCAGTTATCTTTGTACAGATTTTACTGTGGTTAGCTATAATCTTGAGGAGTAGTTTGACAATACATGTTTGTAAAGAGTCCAGGTGTTTTTGTATGACTGTTTAGTTTCTACAAAAGTGTGACAATGCTTTCATATTGATCCTATTGTCAAAACATTTTGAAGGGAAAATTTTAAATGGCCTCATATTTGCACACCTTTATAGATATCAAAGCCTTTTAGGCAGCTTAAAAACTTAATGTATTAATGAAATTTAGATAAAATTGAGGAGAATACAAGTTACATTACAGGACGGAAAATGCGTGCACTATAAGTACCTCATGTTGTCCCACACTAAGCCTTACAAAAGTTTTCTAAGGCTTTGTATAGGACAATGAGAGGTACTTACAGTGCACTCGTTTTCTGTCCTGTTGTGGTTACTTGAAACTAATTGAGATACAGTGTCCACCAAAATTCAACTTTAAGAGCTACTTGATTTTATTTTATTGATGCCCAAATGAATCCTCTCCTGTTTAAAAATTTGATGTGTAGAGGTATTCAATTAGGTCTTGCTGTTTTATCTTTTGGCTAGCAGAAGAAAATAACTTTATTACTTTCCCTTTGTTTTATTGGTGTATTAATTGATATGTTTTATTTATATTTTATTTGGTTTTAGACTTTTAGTTTTTAGACTTTTCTGAGGATAACAGCTGATTTGATGCTTGACATGTACTGTGGAATAGGCCATCAATGAATATATTTACCCCAGAATCCTTAAGGAGCTACCAACAATCACAACATTTTGGGCTTTTAGTACAATTACTGTAGTATATTCAATTATACTTTATTCTGCATAGTATATCCGCCAGTTCACTCAAGTGTCACTTTGATTCCTATAGGTATTGTCAATTACATGAAACAGAATTCAGATCCCAACTGGAAGCCACCCCCAGAAGCTGTTGTAACTCTAACTAAAGATAACTTCACAGAGACTGTGAGCAGTGAGGCCCTGATGCTTGTAGAATTTTACGCTCCTTGGTATGAAAATCAGAACTTCTTTACCTCAATCCTAAAAATACTTAAAACTTACATGTAATGTACATTAATTCATAACTTCCTCAAACTAGCTTGGGGAAATCAGTCCTGCCAATCTTGCTTGAATTGTTGTCCCAGATTAGTGCCACTTTTTGATATATATAACAAGGCACTGGTAAGCTAAGGGAGTGCATTGAATCCTTTGGTGTCAGGGGTTTCATTAAGGGCCAGGCACCGGGCAAATTGACCGGTTGTGAGGAGGGTTCTGCCCACCTGATTTGACGGTCTGGAGGAAAGTTTATCTTATAAAGAAGTTCAGTTCAAAGAGTTTTGCCAGCCTGTGAAAACCAGTTGCCCTCCTGCTGAAAACATTAATGAAGCCCCTGGGTGTGTTTGTGAAATTAACATCACTGTACAGAGAGGCTTTGCTTACTTAAGAGATTTACTGTCTGCAGGTGTGGGCACTGTAAAAGACTTGCTCCAGAATATGAAAAAGCAGCCCAGGAACTGAAGAAGAATGATCCACCTATCATGTTGGCTAAAGTGAATGCCGATGAGGAGAAAAAACTAGCGCAGGACCATGGGGTGACTGGATATCCCACACTCAAAGTGTTCCGCAAAGGCAAGGCATCCGAGTTCAAGGGCTCTAGAAACCAGTGGGGTAAGTTGATTATTTGCACTTTTTTGTTCTTACCACATTTTGACGTCATCTTTGATCTATCACTGAACAGAAGCACCTAAAAGGTAAAGTCTATACTAAATTCTATTGGCCCACCCAGCTGGAGCTGATCCCAGTTTCCATGAAGTGACTAGCATGAAGTGATTAGAAGTATTATTACTCCCCTCTAGATGGGAAGCCAGTCCATGGCAAGGTTTATCCCCCAGCATTTCATGAGGCTTCCCTGTCAATTCACTAGTACCCATTTCTACTCCTGGGTGAAGAGGGGCACTGTGAGAGTAAAGTGTTTTGCCCAAGAACACAACCCATTGACTGGACCAGGTCTTGAACCCAGACCCCTTGACCTGGCCAGGTCTCAAACCCAGACCCCTCGACTGGCCAGGTCTCGGACTCAGACCTCTCGACCCGGAGTCCAGTGCACTGACCATTGGGGCACTGCGCCTCACACACATAGGGCAGCATGAAATTTATTTTGGTAATTTGAAGCAAATTTGGAAATGTCTTTCTTTTTCACTTAAGGCATTGTAGACTACATGCGTAACCAAGTTGGGCCAAGTTCCAAGGAGATGTCTTCTCTCAAAGCACTCAGGGACTTTATGAAGGAGAGAGGTGAATTAGTAATTGTTGGATTCTTCAGCGATGCAAACGAAAAGTTGTATGCAACATACCTTGAAGCCAACAACGACATTAGGGATGACTACCCCTTTGCTCACACCTTTGACACTGCAGCCAAGAAGTACTTTGGAATCACTAAGAGCTCCATTGTGATGTTCCAACCTGAAAAGTTTGGGTCAAAGTTTGAAGATAAACATATTGTTTTCAAGGTAAGAGGCAAATGATTCTGATAGTCAGACCAGATAACAAGATTAGCTTTGAAGGCAGTGTTTTATGGTAGTCTACCATTAGGCTACAACTGTTAATAGTTGTTGCCACATACATGATTTAAATTTGGAAGTCAGTACTTGCTGATGATACAGGTGAAACACACACATTACCTCATCAAACGTTTTCACAAAACTTAAGGATACACAATACCCCAGTCATAACAGGAATAGCATGCTTTAGTCTCTCTTTTAAGCCCATTCTCTATAATGTTCAGCT